TCTTTTCATCGAAGAAAAATCTAAATAAAAATGTACTTTGCTGAGAATGAATAGAAAGATGGATTGGTCTCAAGAATTATGTATTCATTATCCGGTCGCTGCGAAAGCACGCGGTCGACCTTTACTATCCAAAGCGTGCATCCGTAATAGAGCATATTGTCGGTCGTACAGTACATCACTGGCATCAAAAGGCCATTCACATAGGTCCGACAATGGAACAGACCATGCCTGTCGTGGCAGGACATTCCAAGTGGACCGACATTGATTGGAAACGAGAAGAGGGGCATTAGGATTCACTGACAGTCGTCTTCCAAAATCTTTGTGGATCTGTGGCGTCAATGGACATAAGGCGACCCTGCGACGCTAAATTCTAGGACGTAAGAACCTCCCGCAATATCTTGAAACATTTTCCCTTTTTTATTATCCCTGGCGCAATTTATGCGAAGTCATCTACCCATTATAAATCGGTGATTGGGCACGCTTATTTGGTGCGACGATAAAATGCCGTATGATTTTTGTCCCGTTTGTCTGGAACACGTTGTCATATTTGCACGGCCACTGTGGTCTGTGCAATCTGCAGTCAGGATGAATTACACTTGCCACGGTTCTGTGGTTGGAATGAAAGGAAAGAGCAAGTTCGAGTCTGTGCAACAGTTCCTTCCTATTATGTCACTTGGACTGTCGTGAAAGACGCCGCACACCGTGTGTCCCACGGCGCGGTGGGCGCGGAGTGCAAACCAGTTTTTAATGACGACAGATTTGCGCAGCATCTGCAACATTCTCCTTCCTCACTTGCCCGGTAGAATGACAAGACAGAGCCAGTACGACCGGGGGGAGGCTCAGATTCATTGGCTGACAAATTTAAACGACCCGTCTCCGTGTGCCACACACGACCGGGTTCGCGTTTGGTAAGTCAGGTTTCGCCTAAACGGAAGGGCGGCTCGGATCCGATCGGAGTGGGAATGCCACTACCAGTTTTAATGACAACAGATTTGCGCAGCATCTGAAACACTCTCCTTCCTCATTTGCCCGGTAGAATAGCAAGGCAGGGCCAGTACGACCGGGCGCAGGCTCAAGCTTGTGGTCCGTCGAGTGACTTCAGGTCAGCGCGTCTGGAACGGCTCACTGCAAGGGGTGAATGGCCTTGAGGCAGCAAGGTCGTGAACAGTGACGCCAGATCGGTTATGATGGCTGCCCGCTACAAGTTCAGTGGCTGGCAAATTTAAACGACCCGTCTACGCGTGCCACACACGACCGGGTTCGCGTTTGGTAAGTCAGGTTTCGCATAAACGAAAGGGCGGCTCGGATCCGATCGGAGTGGGAATTCCGCTATGAAGGAGTCATCGGGCCTGCCCCTCAGTCCACCAGCCAGCCACTCCTCGCGAGTACTCAGAACCGACCGCGATGACCGAGTTATCCTGTCAGTAGGCTGCCATCAAAGTCAAGCCCCTCGTGACAGTTTCGATGTTCGTCAGATTTATTATAGTGTGGAATGCATTTAAGTACTGTGGAGATGGAGCCCCCAGTGTCGGCCTCGTTCACTCTTCCCTCTCTCTCTCTCTCTCTCTCTCTCTCTCTCTCTCTCTCTCTCTCTCTCTCTCTCTCTCTCTCTCTCTCTCTCTCTCTGTCATTCACCAGCCCTCTGTCGGAGCTGGTCTGGCGCAGTGGCGGACGAAGTTGCGACTGTTGTCTACGTCTTACACACACGACCTGATGGCTAGGTCACGCAGCAAATTGCGGCAAAGAACATGCTTCCCACTTGCTTTAGAGGTGCAAATGAAGTTTGATGTTTGAATGAGTCTTCAAATGTGACCCAAACGAGCATCTTCGTGAAAAGGAGCGCCTGAACACTCACTAATTCGGTAAATGCCTTCAAGAATTACCTTATTTTAAAGTTCTCGACAGACTGGTAATTCAGAATCTGTCTTTATGGACGGTCGGGTGAAAACACTGAAAATTATGATGTATTCAGCAACATTTCGAGGCCGATCTGAAACTCAACGTAATCCAAAACAAAGGAAAAGTATAAATTAATTTAACGGAAGAAAAGTTCTCTCTATAAACACGAAATGGTATGGTTACGATCACGCCTGTCAGTTCTATTTAAATTTACTAGGCACCGACTGGCCTCATGGCATGTCACCTTATGAAAACTTCTGTTCCTACGACGTCCCCATCGGTGAAATCAAGCAAATTCCAGCTTCTCTTGTTGAATCCTATCTCATTTACTTCAAACGAGTCAAAAATAACAAGAATCACTGGAAAACTGTTTTTGAATCTACACTCAGAATGTAAGCAGCTGGCAAACCGTCGTATATGAAGTCACACTAATTATTGAACGATATTTAGATGTAAAAGTCACTGAAACACTATTACTAGCTGTTATTTTATGTCTACTTTCATATTTACTATGTCTTTGGTATGAGAATACATTCTAGACATCTAAAAACGAAGTTTACTAAATTGGAGCCATTTCTGACGTTTTCGGGATATTGCGCTTTTCAAAATAAATCCGCATTCCTAAACAACGCAACACTGCCTATAATAGTTCTTTTATATTTTTAATTCTTTTAAACTTGTTCTTAATTGACATAGACATTGGACTCATGAAATGGTGTCGGTTTGCGAGTGATTGGCAACCATTCGTAAATTTCGACACATTTCATGAGTTAGGTCACTAACTGTAGAGCCTGATGTAGTAACTTGGATGCTGTTTACTCTTGTGGTCCACGCTGTCGTGCGTACCCATGTGCATTTCTTCAGTGCTCCTCTGATTTTACTTCAATCCCGCTTCATCTACTTCCCCGCAAAATATCTGAGTATGGCTCTCCTGGCTGGATTGTTTCTTGGCTTAGAGATTAGTTCGCCTTTGGAATTAAATTTGTCTACTGTAGTAGGCAGAAAGTTGCTCTTACTGCTTGTAACTGGGGTGTTCTTCAGGACTCCATCTTGTCGTCTTACCTCTTTTCACTATAAACTAATGGCCAGGGAGTGTCGGATGGCGAGGTGGTGATGCACTACGATTCAATGATGTGCTTACGACCCGTCTGCTTACGGTCCCCTCTGTCGATCATCTGTGACGTGGACGTGTGCACGTTTGTGTGTCTGGTCGCCTATTATTGTCAAGGTTATGAATGGCTGATTGTGAAGGCATATTAAGGCGAAAACAATTCTGTATCGATCCACCCCCCCCCCTCCGCCCGGCTCTCATGACTTAGTCGAGTTGGGCCTGGCAGGTGATTGCCTGTTCGTGACCTCTGTCGTACATCCGGAGGGTTTGTTTGCTCCAAAAAGCCAACAGATCGGTGTGCGCCCATTCCAAAGTAAATAAATACCTCATTTGCAGCCACAGAGAGTGCCAGGTGGCAAAGCCCTGATGAACTTCTGTTCCATGAATCGCTTATGACCCATTTGATTGATCCCGTCTGCGGACCAGCTGCGCCGTGTATACGCGCATGTTTGTGTTTCTGGTTTCATCTAGTGGTCATAGTTATGATTGGCTGAATGAAGGCGGAAACAGGCGGAAACAGTACCGTATCAATCAATCCGCATTCTCTGCCATCTCCCCCCCCACTCCCCTTCTGCTACTACCACTTGCCCGACTTCGGCCTGGTAGGTGGTTGCCTGTTCGTGACCTCTGTCATCTGGTTGGAGAGTTTGTTTGCTCCGAGAAGTCAGTGAGTCGGTCTGCGCCTGTATCTGTACAAGCCATCATTGTTTTCTTTCCTCGACAACTGCTAGTATTGCATTAACCATGCTGCCTTTAAAAGTATGGTATAGTCTGATACAAGTCGGGGCATCCACAGGAGACATGGAATTAATGCTCAAATATGTCAACACCCTCTCATCCTAGAACAGTCGTTTTACAGATTTCTTCGTTTGGTAAAGCTTTTAAGTCAACTGGTAAGATTTCATTGTCATCCAGAGAGCATGCTGTATGCACTTATGCAAGCCGAACTGCTTAAAACATGGGACGACTGATCAGTGTATCCTCAGAAGACTACTCAATTTCCAGCCCTTTTTGGCAAAATCATCAGTTATCTTTTGGTATTGATGTAGAAGGATTAGCGTGTTTCCACAGTCAAGTTAGACTCTCTGGTGACATCCGTGATTAAACGACTTTTTACATCTTCTGAGTTCCGAAGTTCAGGATAAAAACATGAAGAGAACGACTTGTAGTTGGATTGTCGAGCAAGAAATATACAGTCTGTTGAGTAAAAAATCCTAAAATTCTTTCAGAAACGCCAGTTTAGCGAGTCCCAGGCAAGCTTTTTCATGAGTCTCCAGAACGGCGATTTTCGTATAAAGCAGCCCACTCGCATTGAGCCACTGAAGACCACAGGAACCCTGGAAACTGAGTAAACATCGATAAATTTAGATGGTCAAATTTAGAAGCCAGCTAGACGGGCACACAACTGCGATGCGTAACCTTTCGGAGGCTCTGGGTGTAACTCTAAAGATCAACGTTACTTGGTAACGCGCTTTAAATTACACCCCCCCCCGTTTTTAACTCTTTCATGTACTTATAGTCACTTCGATGGACAATCTGTTGGAAAAAAACCCAAGGCCTTGTTATCACTAAGTCATGCCCCATAAATTTTACTTATATAGGTTTACAATTAGTATTGTTTGGACAGAATTTTAGATCGTTTACAGTCGTAACAGTCATCCGTTTTCTAGATCAGTGGTCCAGTGGAGTGCAAGGATCAGTGTCGTCAGTGCTTCCCCCCCTCCTCTTGAATGAAAGTTTGGCGGATAAAACGGCGACTAAACCACTGCCAGCGAGCAACTTCGGACAGTTTCACACGTCTGACACGCATATTTGTGGCTGAGTCGTGTGTTTACACTGCGTGACATCAGATCACTTTCCACCGGTGATAAACTTACCGGACAGTAATGTAAACACGGTCCTGCGAGGGAGGGGGGGGGGCACCAATCGCAGAGCAGGCGACGGCTGGCGACTAGGAGCCGCTCGTCCAAACTCAGTCGGCAGAATCGCAATGTGGAGCTTGTGTCTGGTGGTGCTAGTCATCTCTACTACTCTCACGGCTGCTGCTGAGGGTTCTTGCTGTGGATCTCAAAAGCGTGAGTGGACCGAGGCGAAAGACAATCGCGTCTTTCCGCAGCACAAAGCCCTGAGCCAGGAACTGGTAGACTATGTCAATCAGGTGAGTTTTCACGACCATAAACTTTGGAAATAATCAGTTGTTTGTCGCATCTTCTTCACAACTTGTCTGCCCTAGAAGTGGCGATTAGTGACTCAGAGTCAAGCAATTTCGCGTAACAATCCCTTAGAAGCTCAGTTGATCAGGAATTGACGTTAAGTAATTCTGGTTCAGACCCTGTGTCGGGACGTCTATTCCCTGTGGGACGAATTCGAGGGCTTCAGACACCTATGCAGGTCATCGTCCGCAATTAATGGCTGGCCAGCAGCCGATATGCTGCTCGATAATGCGTAAATAAACTATCCTTAAGGGGTTTTTAAGTATTATTTATCGCCGGATGAAGTAGGAGGGTGCAATCCTTGTACTGCCATCAGCTTTCAGTGAAAAACGCACGATTACCAAGACTCGAGGTACAGTAATTAACTGTGCTTTACTTCAAGGCCTGCGCCCTCCCCCGCCTCCGGTCTTCTTGACTATGTCTTGACACGGGTTCCAGGTGGGGAGTGGGGAAGAGATTGTGCGGTAGATGCTGCGCAAGTCTACTTTCGCCATGAACTAATTCACGCGCAAGTCACTGTGTCTGCTGCACTTAGCCGTGTAGCACACGGTGGACATCGTTGGAATCGACGGTCTAACTGTCATCATTCGTTCAAAAAATGTGCCGCATACGAATTTTATATCATTTCAATGATTTTGAACAACTGAGAATTGCAATCAACAGGAATGAAAGCGATCTGAATTCTTCAGCTTTGTAATTTCCTCAGAAATTAATCGCTAACTTGGAATTAATCAATCTGTTTGAGATTTACAAGCTCAGATTGAAATTCGGTAATGGATATTTGGATGAAGTCCATCAGCCATGGCGGAATAACCGCGTAATATTCGTAAACTGCCAACGAGCAGCCAGTATTATAAACGTGTGAAACATACATATAAACGTATAAACGTATGTATGGTATACCATACCTGACAGTTCACCCCTGGCTTCATTCGACAGACCGGAGCCCAAAGGTAAAGCGGAACGCCCGTATCCACTCACACAGAGCCTAGTCTCCGCAGTGCAGTGTATGCTGTCCTCATTGTCGAAACATCACGAACCATGCATGCGAAAGGCGAACGCTCAAGGTCACCCAGGCGCGCTCAAACCACCTTTATGCTGGCTGGAAAGTACTTCAGTCTATGACATTCCCGCGTGTCTTCAAGACGGCGGGACTGTCTTCCGTGCTCGATGCACGTCCTGTCTACAAGCAGCCTGCTGTTTTGTATACATAACACACAGCGTGTGCCAAGAGTTCACAGGGGCGGTTTGGATGTCCAGTGTATAGGGCTACTATAGAGGCCTACTCCCTAATGAACGCATCGGTACCTGCACGCGCATCGATGCTGCCGACCGCTCGACATTTAGCCATCAAATGTTGCCAAGACGGCCAACGCCCCTACAAATCTGCATTGTGCTTCTATGCACCCTCAGCTACAACAAGTCGAATTTAGTAACAGTGATGCAGACAAAAGCAACAGCCCCATTTAATAAACGCTTCTTGGGTCGAATCTTATTTTGTAGACGCACCTGCGGTAGACAAGCCCTAGCCGCCTGTCATACGGGACCAGTAGCTATGGGGAGGGGTGGTTTACACTAACCCCAACCCATACCACTAACCCCTAACACTAACCGCATCCCTGACAGGTGCGGCTGCGAAATAAGATCTAACCGTTTCTCGAGACGAACTCTTTGGGAGGCATTTAGATGAGGTCAATGCACCTTGCGGTTTAGGTGTTGCCAGATGAATTTTTTCCATGACCGGTGTATATTTTTGAAAATGCTAATGAGTAGCCTTGACTGCCACTTTTCGTTTTCGCAGACGATAACTCTACTGAGTCAGTCAACAGAGTGATTTTTGCCTTCAGAAGAGCGCGTTTCGTCGCCACAAGCAATCTGCATTACAAGAAAATGGACGCTTGTGTGAGAAGTCACTTTCTCGTAATTGAGTCAGCTGATGGATAGAAGCGAATATGCGAATCCCAGGTTCTTGTTGTAAAGAAGATGAACACGCGATCTCTGGGACAATAGTGCATTAGTCTGAGCTTTCGGTCTCGTACAGGAGGCCATCGTCAGAGGTTATTAGAATGCAGCGTCAAATGAGCAATTTTTGTAGTCAAACAATGATGGAAGGGGGATAGGAGTGCAGGGGGGTGGTGTCGGCAGTCTCTGACGATGGCCTCGTGTACGAGACCGAAAGCTCAAACTAATGTACGTATTGTCTCAGAGATCGCGTGTTCATCTTCCTTACAAGTCTGCTCATGTTCAGTGCAGGATCAGGGCGCATTTGGTGCGTGTTAGATGGGGACAGACGCCAAGACTCGCTTGCAGTCGACTGGCAGACCACTGGTGCTTTCTAGAGGGGGGAGGAGAAGAGGTCGATCCAGTATGAATCCAGCTCTTTGTCACAATCAAGCGCACCTTTAAACTACTACTACTACTACTACTGCTGCTGCTACTACTACTACTACTACTACTACTACTGCGACGGCCTAACTGCTGAAGGAGAGAGAGGACCAATCACAAATATGCTCTGCGGTGTGCGTGTATAGATAAAATACCTCACAACAGGTGAATCAAAGGCAGGTGCCTCGCCGGTCAAGGCACGAAGCAAAAGACCACTGCGGCCTAGGATATGGTTTATGACCTGGGTTTACTTACTGCGGGGAGCATTTGTGCTGAGCAGAAGAGGTAAACGTCGAAGAACTTTGTGGTATCACAACTTTTGATCCTCCATATTGTCGCCAATTAAAAGGGGACACTATTTTTACCATTTAAAGATAATAGTAAATCAGTTTACTGCCCCTCTGCCCTACACAATAGCTACCGCGAGATCTTCTTATTTCTTTCTCTGGAACGCATAAATAAATATCGCCAGTTAGCTTCTTTTAGCACAATTGCTCTCCGGGATTAAGTAACCCCGGCCGTAAACCATACCTTTGTCTCAATTCCTTCCTCTTAGGCGAACCTTCCGCCCACAATGTCCTCTAATTTTCACTGAAACAATTGCCCCCTAAAACCGTCAGTCAGGTTTGATAGGAACGTGTAGTGTTAGTGGCACGATGTCAACGACTAAGTGCCTGGAAGTGACAAATTATTCCTGCTCTTTATGGGACACCAATGTATGATAGTTTATGTTTATGTACCGAAATTCTGCTTAGTCGTGGAATCTCTTATTGGGTAAGCTCGACGATCATCATGTTATTTTTAAACAATCGCGGGTAATATGTGGTTTGGTAGCCCCACTTGATGGACACAACACTGTTGGGGTTGGGGTTAAGGGTTCGGGATAAGGATAACTATTTCTCAACCACTCAAAGTACAACCGCGAATTCCCAGTCGCTTTTCTTTTGCATACAACTACTTGACCTCGTCGCCTGTGCGTCCCCCGTCTCCACCTTTAAAAGCCCCTATTACCACCGGTCCCGTATTAGAGGTGACTGGGGTTTGTCTACTTCAGGTGCGGCTACATAGCCACATCCGACCCGATCGCGGAACAATGTTTTGTGGCTTAGAAAAAAAACACTAGTCAAGTTGCTATAGCTGCGCGTACACATAAGAGGCCTTATAGACGTCGCACCTACGTAGTTGAAATCTAGTAGGTGAATTAACCGCGTCTAGACAACACCTAAGCTTGTGTGGGCTTCAGCGCGTTTCGGTCTCACCTGCGTACGTTCTCCACTCTGGCAGAACCGTTATATTTTAGCGTTAGGAGCAGGGCAGCCCCGGTTGTCATGTCAAGTGGCAGTTTACTCTCCTGGTTCCACGCAAAATGGACCTACTGTTAACCGGATAAGCCAAATGCGGGGAACCGGCTCATAACCAGACATATTTTCTGCTGCCTTGAACAGTCACCCTAATAGATGTGCATTCGTTATGTAAATCTGTTGACTCTTGCGTAATTCGTTAATTTACCGTCGGTTCACGGTGAATAGAGCCCTCCTTGCTGAGAATTTTGATTAATACTTCCGAAATAAAGCTTATTCCCCTCTCTCTCCCTCAAAGGTCTTCAGTAATATGACAATTCTACAATTCATTGATATTTTGGCAGATTTTGACTAATTCATATTGACCCAACCGTGAAAAACTCGGCGCCTCGGTGGGATTCGAACCCACGCAGTAAGGGGAAGGCTTTAGCGCAGCCAACGCTCTAACCACCTGAGCTACGAGGTGGATTCCAGACGTTGCAGTAGGTTGGGCGGGTAACTTGACCCAAATGTGATTAAACTCGCGTCGTCCGGCGGGGCCTCGTAGCTCAGGTGGTTAGAGCGTTGGCTGCGCTAAAGCCTTCCCCTTACTGCGTGGGTTCGAATCCCACCGAGGCGCCGAGTTTTTCACGGTTGGGTCAATATGAATTCTACAATTAACAAAAAAAAACAGTGAATCAGTGCTTAGTGTAGGTCCGGCCGTTTACGAGTCTACAAACAGGGCCAGCCTGTATTGTTCTCCGCCCACGCATGCTCTGGAGGTACGACAGCGACGGTGTTTACTTAAGGGTTTACGTGTCACACACACCTGGTGGTGCAGATTTGGCGCCTGCTGATGGCTGTAATTGGACGTTCTGGCGAGGTACAGGACGTCAGACTGACACCCCGATCTGGGCCATTTGCACTCTAGTTCTGACCCCTGAGCCAGTGACGGTCGGATGTTTGAAGGCAGCCCCTGGCTGAGACGGCGATTCCTTACAAGAGAAAGTGCGTCCGCATGGGGGGGGGGGTGCGCCCTGGGCTTCCGCAAAACGGCCGCAAGTATCCCCCCTCCCTTGACGTGGCATGGTTTCAAGTAGTAGAGTCAGTAGAAGTGTTACTACCCTGAAAAAAAAACTGATAATCTCCAATGTGCAATCCAAGTGAGCAACAAAGCCTAGGTTCTATGGCTCGCAGACTCAGGTTGACTCCAAGAGACAGTGGCAGCAGTCACAACGGTTCAATAAAATATCCACTGCCAGGCTACTAGTACTTAATTAAACCCCCGCGACAAGGGAGATTCGAACAAACGATAAACGGGCGCATTTGTCGTAAAATTTGGACGCTGGTATTAATTGGCCTAGTTGAACTGGCCCGAGTTGATCTGTGCAGTTACTGCCGCTTTTTCTGATCTGGTCAGAAGTTGTGTTTTAGTTGGAGCCAGTCAAATGTACTGGATGACTTTAAGTTGCAGAAAGACATATCACTAAGCCATGCGTTGACGGAAAAACCAACAGTCGCCACCCTGCTCAGATGGGCAGGCTGGATCGGGTCGTTTTGGTAAAACCAACACCTCGGGCCACCAAACCTCGGAGATCTTAAGTGCAGAGCGAAGCCCTGTTTATAGAGTCCACGGATGCGACCACCATCATGCCTGTTGCACTGACTGCCAGCGCCAGCGTAGGCTGCCATTTGCTTGTTAACTTCCCGTTGTCATGCCCCCCTCCCCAGCCTACTGCGTGTTTGCATTTCCTGTGGCCTCTTTTTTAACGCAACAACTTGGAGATGCAGCCTGCGGGTTTGGCCTTTAGCTTTGTCATGACGCGAGGCTCTCACACCGTAAGTACCTCAATGTAGTGATTGATTCATTGGGGTCTGAGAGTCGCATCATTTGCAGTATTTGTTGTCCTGTTGTTAGCGTCATCCTTCCCCACCCCCCCCCCCCTGCCCCCACCCAATCGCATCGATCTTACCGAGGTTGAACCGATGATCGGTCTGGGTGGCACGAATTGCCGTCTCTGAGATCCGATCTGACCCCCCCCCGCACCACGACTCCCCGGGCAACCAAATCCACACACACAAAAAGAGACTACGACAGACGCCAGCCATAAGTGGACAGACGTGAATAGTTTAACCGCAAATTAGTAACCCACTTGCAGCCAGCATTGGTGCTGGCAGTCAACGAGACAGGTGTTCGTACCCGCGGACCTTATAACGCAGGTTTCACGATGGATTCAAGAGCATGCGGGACTAAGCCACCGAATATGCCGTTTGGAACGTCAACAGCCTTATAAACCTATTCCAGTAAATCTTGCTCCTTCCATGCACACATGCAAGTTATCAATAATATTTATGATAGAAGCTAACAGGCGAGTTCCAGGTAGCAGTTCAGAAGACGAAGATGCGATCACCGGAACAAGAAATTTATTGGTTCGAAGTTTTGGATTTTCACTCGAATCCATCATCATCTGCGAATGTCTCTGATGATGGATTTGAGTAAGAATCCGCAACGTCAGGCCAATAAATTTCTTGTTCCAGTGATCGCATCGTCGTCTCCTGAATCATATTTATGTCAACTAGGACATACCCCGACAGAAGATGAGCATTACTGTACTTTCATGCCTAGCAAATCAGTATCCACCACTCATTCTGCTGCCAGATGCTAACTTTTTCAGAGGTCAGTACGCCATGTCGGATGCTTCAGAAGAAGATGGAACAAAAGTCCAGGGAGCGACTGTAATACTAAATTTTTAGTCGCCCCTGGTCCGATCGAACCTTCCGAGATCTTCGACATGACATGAAACTCGTTGCATGGTACAAATGCGAGGGTAACGCGGGCAAAATTGTGGATTTTTATGCCAGAACTCATGTGCTGCCTGTGCTGGGCACATGAAAAATCAGTTAGAGAAGGGGAGGCCGACAAATATAAGGGAGACTGTGATGGCTAGTTTCGACCTGCGGACCGTCATCAGGCATCCACGCTCAACCCCAGATCTAAGTGACCGGGGACTCGAGCCCGTACCTTTCAGTTGTTGATCGTTGAGCAATCCAGCACTTCTCCACCTAACTCCCGGGCACGTTTAGCGACCAGTGGACCCGGGTTCGAACCCCTGATCATTCAGACCTGCGATTAGGTGTGACTGGCTGACGACGGCTAATAAGTCAAAAATGAGCATCCTAGTCTCCATTGTCTTTGTCGAGATTCCTTCCTGCATGATTGATGGTCGCTGTGCGATTGCTTACTAGGTCCCCAGGTTGAGCCTCAAGCCGCAAAGGGACGAGTCCGTCCCACAGTCTCATGAGCGAACGTCAATCCTACGGCGTAAAGGTGTGCATACAGTGAGTGACCGATCTCAAGATAAGCTGGCCGAAGTTCTGAAACGCATTTTCTATTAGGAAGAATTACTAAGGTAGGGTTGTAATATTGATTATTGTGCGGCCTTATCCCATAATATTTCGGACTCGCCAGGATACTGGCTTTCGAACGCACTTCTTTTCGATCTCCTAAAGAAACCGCGCTCGGTAAAAAGTGATTACTCAAGTAGCATGCATTTTTCACATTGATTTTCGATGGTCTTAAAGTTCAAATATGTTTTATAGAAAACATGCAAAACAATATGCTCTCTCTCATTCCCTTGGTAGAGAATAACACTGTCTTCATATTTTATGCTAAACGAAAGGGTATATTTAAATTTAGAAAAAGTCTTCCAACTCCCAAATAATTTTAAACCTGACCAGCCGTTGCATTAGCGTTTAGCCATTTCAGCCTACAGGGTGCATGCTTTCCACTTAAGGAAAATCAATAACGCCTCCACGCCTTTAAGAATATACTATGTAGAGTTCGTGAAATTTCGCAATGAATGCGGACTATGTTATACACTTCTATAAAATATATCAGAATACATAAGACCATCAAAAATCAATGTGAAAGATGCATGCTACTTAAGTAGTCATTTTTCATCGAGTGTGACATCTGTAGGGGATCGTAAAGAAGTGCATTCAAAAGCCGACATCCTAGCGAGTATTAAATATCATTAGGTTAGGCCGCACAATAATCACTATTACAGCCCCACCTAAGTAACCCTTTCTAATCGAAGACACATTTCGAAATTTCCGCCAGCATTTCATGAGTTCGACTACACACTGCATGTTATCGTGGATAGTGCGCTGACGGAACGGGGTACAGCGATATGCCCATTCCCTTGCGCTTTGGGACTCAATCTAGAGACCTCGCAGGCAGTAGCATGGCGACCAGTAATCATACAGGGAGGAGTACCGACAAAAACAAGGGAAACTGGAATGTTCATCCAAGTCTCCTTTGCGTCTGTCGTTACTCCTTGCTGCATCAAAAGAAGAGTTACAAGGTGATTTTTTATAGTAAAGTATGAGTGTGTGCTCCTACGTTTGCCAACCGTAATTGAACTAGCAGTTGGTAGCATTCACACCCTTTTTCCACGATCTTCCGTGGAAAAGGGGAATGACAGAACTGCCAGCGGATGGCGCCGCCTATTAGACTTTCGTAGTATACTTGTGTCTTTAGGTGTTCGAAGCATGCTTAGCGCTATTAATCCGAGCTCCACTGTTACAGGCATCCAACATGCAACACTGTTTCTGGAGTGGCCGGGTATTGCCATCGGGCGCAAGGCCCTGACACGACCTGAACTGCCCACACGAATGCTTTTGCTGAATGCAAGGTGGTGAGGAAAATGCCGGACTTCCTCGGTTTTTGGCAGACAGTCCAATATTTCATTTTATTTCGAGTATAAGAGTAGTTAGTTTTTAAAAGTCTACCATACTTCGCTCCTCCACTGACATAACTACGTGAGGAGATAGTACTTTTGACATTATCAGCCCGACTGGGAGTCGCCAAAGAGCAGCAAGGTTGTTGCAGTATTCTAGTGACAGAATTATTTGATGCATCATCTAACATCATGCATTCTGACTGAAGCTCAACACAACCTGGAAGGCCGCCCACACGAGACGTTTCGGAAAGCTGTCAGAGGCGCGTCTTCAACTGGGTGTCTACCCGAATCCGCACGGCAACAACTTGCTTCCTCAGATCTGTCACATGACCGGTGGTGAAGAGCCCCTTCCGGAGGAATTCGATGCCCGGACAAAGTGGTCTAACTGCCCCACTATCGGCGAGATCCGTGATCAAGGCAGCTGTGGATCCTGTTGGGTAAGGTCATTTTCACAGTTTAATTCCTTGAATGAGGAAGACGTCCTGCAGTTAGGGTTCTTTTCGAAATTCTGCTGAGTCAGATAACAACAGAGAGAGGTAAAACGTTCCTTTTAACTAATGGCACTAATGCTCGGTTATCTGACGCGAGCGCCCAACAAGACAATTTATTTGATTTATGCTTTCTACAACACAAAAATGGAAGGTGTTGTTTTGCCTGACACTTGGTACAGTCTGTAGCTTTGAGAACTGGGATTTTTATAACGGATTATGGGAGATCAGAAGCTTACGCGGTTTGTGAATTTTTGCTGCTATACGGAGTGCACAGACGTTTGCTGACGGATTGAGCCCTCCAGTTCTCATAGTCTGTTTCAGATTAATGTTCTGGATATTCTCACTCTGCATATTTTCCCAAATGGATTTTTGTCGCTACTTATTTGTCGATACGGGCGAGAAGACTACTTTTAGGAAGTAGTTGGAGGTAGGGGAATGCGGTCGCTCGAACGATAATTTTATTCCTTGACATTTCGGATTCCCACTCGAATCCATCATCAGACAGTCGCGGATAATGGTGATAGACGCATAAGGGATGCAGTATTGATAGGATGCATTTGCCATGAAACCACATACCACTCACAAATAGTAGCAGCTTCTCTATTCATTGCCGGTGGTTGTACTTGGCGTGATGATTGCTTACTTGCCCGAATCCGAGTTTTTAATTGTCACGAGTCCGTCACTGCCACTAGTTTAGTTCGCAGATATTTCCGATGAAAGGGGAATTTTTTCGCCCGTCCCCTGCGTGGCCACTTACTCTACTCAGTCAAAGTTTCGGCACAAAATATAGAGGGGGGATCGTTGCGCTTATAAACAGACTGTGAGTCAGAAAACAATGACCCAGGCAGCTTGTGGCTCACACGATGATGGATTCGAATGTGAATACAAAACAACAGGCAAGTAAAATTCCTGCTTCAGAAATTGTACCTGATTTTTGGTTATTTAGATGCGTCTCTTCACTTTTGATGAACGAATGGCTTAAAATATTACTTCTTTAAAAGAGTAATATATGGTACGAAATCCAAATGTCCCTCCATTATTTGCCACCTGAGTGTCTAGTGTTGTGGATTAGAGACCGTCCTCCTGAAAGAACCATGGATCAACAGAAGGTTGTAGGAAATAAGGTTACTTTGCAGTTAAAAAGTAGTTTTTGTCAAGTTATGTGTTTGCGGATTAAGTAAGCAGAACTGTTCGAACCCATGTTTGTGCAAGACTCTGGCACGGAGTAGGGCAGACTTCCTGAGCTCGCGTCACATCAGACGGAGTCAATTTTCTCTGAAGAAAAGTAACTACACTCCGGAGATATTTATTTTGCTAGGAAGTAGAAACTTTCACTGAAACAAGAGCTTCATTCGCCTGACGTTTCGGATTCACGCTCGAACTCATCATCAGAAACAGTAACAGATACGGGTCAGCGACATTTGTTTGGCCTAACTATGAAATGCTCGGTGAACTCGTTGGGGCCTGAACCCATGACAACAAGGGAAAGCTTGGATACAGCCAAAGCTCTAACCACCTGAGCTACGAGATCCCACCTAGAGCAGTGAGTTTAATCACATTTGGATCAAGTTACTCGCCCATCCTATTGCAACCTATGGAACCCACGTAACTTGACCCATATGTAATCATACTCAGGGCTCCTGGTGAGGCCCCGTAGCTCAGGTGGTTAGAGCGTTGGTTGTACTCAAGCCTTCCCCTTGCTGTCTTAGGTTGAAATTCTACCGAGGTCACCGAGTTTTTCCCAAATGGGTCGAAATAAGTCATTCACAGTATTCATAAACACCTACTTATCTCAAAGCAGACACAAAATATGGACTCTCTAATTATTTATTTGAATTAATTTAAAGTAAATAATCTTAATAGGAAAAAAATTTGGATTGCGCAGACTTCCTAGTGCCTGGTGCGACGGTGGAGCGTATTGTTGACGATAAATTAACCGGAAAAGCGAGTCGAGTAGATAAACAATCAAGCACTGTGTCCTGCCTTTTCCCCGTTTGAGTTTTGTCGGAAGCGAAAATCCCAATTCGTAAAGGCGTAAAGATTGGAACGGCATGAAGGGCTTTTTTTATCGCTGAATGGATGGGAATGGCTCCGACCAGGAATCGAAACCGTTTGCAATTCCTGTTCGGTAAACGGTGCTTTGTGGACTAGACTGTTACGAATATCAATGAGGATCTGTTCGTTTTACTGACTAGAACAACAGGGCAGCTTGGAAGCTGAGAAAAATCTGCACTGTTTTCACGACGCATCTGCGATCTCTCACGATTCACCAGTGTGTCGAGGCATGGATTTTGTCAGAGACTGCTCTACCAGCCAAACTGATGACTGAAGTCTTATCAATCCACTTGCATTTTGCCCTTACTCAGGTGTTGACTTTGTTGAAGTTACAATAAAGTTTCCGTTTTCCAATCCATGATAACGACAAGTAGACAAATATTTTTTACACATGCCGACAATATGGTCGAATTTTCGCAAGCATGTCGCAGACTGTAACCGGGTCTGACCAGACAGTATCAATGCCCTAAGAATCCCGATGGCCTCCAACGGAGCGCAGAAAGTTATTTTATTGATGAACGTTTCCTAATTCGGCTGACTGCAAAACAACTAATCAGGGTCCCATTCTCCGACCTTCTCAACCTGAGTTTTGGTATGAAGCCGCGCAATAACAAGCGCACTTTTTATTCTGAGGTGGTCCAATTTGGTACAGGTTTTCATTTTCTACTTCCTAGCATCATGCTACCAACAGTATGTGAAGAGCGCGCATGAACAAACTGGTGTCACTTAATGAATGCAGGCCCCCCCCCCCCTAATAGGTCATTCTAAGCAAGCATTTGGGTTTTCACTCTTTCAGGCATTTGGCGCTGTGGAGGCCATCTCGGACCGCATCTGCATTCACACCGGGGGGAAGAAGGTGGTGAGAGTTAGTGCTGACGACCTTGTTTCCTGCTGCACCAGCTGCGGCAGTGGCTGCAACGGCGGTTGGCCAGCTGCGGCCTGGAAGTACTGGGTGCAAAAAGGTCTCGTTAGTGGTGGTCTCTATGGCGATAACACCACCTGCCGACCCTACGAAATTCCACCCTGCGAACACCACACTCAAGGTGACCTACCTCCGTGCAGCGGCGATGCTGAGACACCTGAGTGCCGCAGGGAGTGTCAGGCGGGCTACCCAACACAGTATGCGCAGGACAAACATTATGGTGAGCTTTCGACTTTGTTTACATCTTGATGGATCCTTTTTTGTCAGAGAAACTCAAGTTAAATCCACAGGGTAGCGTACAGCTTCTGTTGTCATACTTCATTTAAAACGAATACCACGTTTTATTTTTTCGATCAGTTTTGGCTTATTGGTCGTATCACCTCCAAGTGCCCTACTAGCAGTCGAACGCGTATCGAGTTCGCCTCGGGCTGGAGTCCTTGACCGGCCGAACTCTCATCGACCTCGGAAATGGCCCTCTGTTAGAGTCCATAGCGATATTTATTAGTCGGTCACAAAGCAAACATTTTCCGCATGAGTACAATTCAGGATTCGAAGGTCCGCCTAAAATCAATCCTACACAAAGTTCGAAAAGATTTGATAACCGAATCTCAACTAACACTTTGTTACTATCAGAGTTGCAGCAGCAATAGTACTAGCGGTAATAATAATAGTTGCACTTGTTGATTTTGTTGTTTTCACCGCTGCAGCTGCCGACAACTGAAGTAAAACGGCTGATTTTGGAAGCGGATGGCAGATGAGAACCGGCAGTATTTCAATGTCCCCCCTACTTTAATATAGTGAGCTCATTCTCATGCATGGTAAACTGTTTTAACATTTTTATGTTACTTTTTTTCAAGGACTAAAAGCCTATACTGTGCATGGACGTGAGGAACAAATAAAGAAGGAGATTATGACGAATGGGCCGGTAGAGGCGGATTTTGAAGTCTATGCTGACTTCCTTAACTACAAATCAGGTGTCTACCAGTACACCACGGGTGCTCTGCTCGGCGGTCATGCTATCCGCCTTCTTGGTTGGGGTGTTGAAAATGGCACCCCATATTGGCTGGCTGCCAATTCCTGGAACTCTGACTGGGGCGACAAGGGCTATTTCAAGATCCTTCGTGGCAGAAATGAGTGTGGCATTGAGAGCGACATCGTCGGAGGAATTCCCAAAGAAGTTTGAAGGTGGAGTACGCTATCCACGAGGCCTAAGCTTGTCAGCCTCCTTTCCTGTAACTTCTCTTTCGGTTGGGCTTAAACTCTCTTAAAGAACCTTGATAATAATTGTCTTCTCTGTTTGGTTGAGGATTTTTAAGAACATGTTATAATCAAGTCAGCTGTTGCCATTTCATGCATTGATCATGAAGACGGACGGGTTTGGGAGTTTTCAAACATATTCATCTTCTGAAGGATATGTAAATGGACACAGCTTGACTGCAAAATAAAATTAAAAGTTTGGTTGTCAACGTGAGATGTGTAGATTTACGCATGAGTAAGGAAGATTGCAGGTCGGCAGGAAGGTGTTGGTGTCTGGAATGTCCCTAAAATCCCGGTACTTCGCAAATACCCGAAACAGGATGAGCGAGGTATCTGCGTATGCCCCTGCCTATAGTCTGCAGCTGAGGCACTTTGTCTTAATCAATGGTCGAGGGATCTAAGATGCTGAATACTTATATAAATAACTGGAGAGCTTGCGGTGTCGCATCCCTGTAGACGGAGCATACTGTCATTCAAGTTACCTGGGTTGGGGTCGACCGCCTAGAGGGGCCTGCCGTAGTATAGGAGCAAGAAAAGCATTATGGTAATTGCGAGTTGAGATGGAGATATAAATCTTAGGAACCCCTTCTACTGAAAATGGAGAGGGTTGAAGCACCGTAAGGAATAGTTTTATTATTCTGAGCTTTCGGATTGGTTATGAAGTGTATTTGCGGAGCTTAACTGACAACAGTAAGGCAAAAATTAGGAAGGGCGACTCGAAAGACGGCTTCATCTCCTTCCCCTGTTCGCATCCTCTTGGCATTTGTGGCAATCGTCTGGCTGCGTACGGCTTCACAGGTGGTGGGTATCTGTCGCACATTTATCGATAAATTTGTGCCTCCGGCTTCCTTACACATAAACTGTAATCTTAAGCCATAGATTGTTATGAGGCCATGCTCACGTTTTAAAGATCTCCCTAATCATTAGCTATCTATATAGGACAATTCAAGAATTTCGTCAAAATATAAGTAACAGTCTCTGACAAGAAACGACGCTCCCGAGTTATTTGTAATTTCTATTTTGCGCAGTCTCCGTGAATTTTTAGTACTGTTTACCTCAGACCACTGAACATCTGTGTTAAAAGCTTTATCTGGTTGTAGTGGACTCCGAATCCTTGCAAATTCCAAAATTAAAAAGTTCGACTGGTATTTTACGACTTTAAGGGAAATACGTGTCGATGACCGTATTTCAAAAATTGCGTTGGTTATATAGAATGACGCGGTGGTATGCTAGCTTCTGACTGAAAAGTTTAACCTTGACGACTAATCACGTTCGAAGGAAACCACTGTTTCTGTAACATTCCTCCCTCAGTTTTCTGCTTTTTAACCATATCTCGAGAGCGGAATGCGCCAAATTTCAGTTAGCTGTTGTGGCCAAGCAGGAATTCACGGCTCTGTGAAATTGTGTTCTGAAGAAAATGAATACTTTGGTTCCGAAAGTTTCTTCATTTTGGCATAATTTTCGGAGCCTTCTCATGAATATTTGAGTGGCCAAATATCAGCAAATTACGTCCAATAGGCCGGAGGTATTCGTGTATTCAGTGGACATCAGAAAGTCTCTCTCCGGGTACGTGGAAGCAAAAATAAACGTACACTCAAACAGCCCGAATCTTATAGTCCGATAACCATTGGGACAAATGAAAACGCAGGTTGGGCTTCAGTATGTGCATAAATAGGCAAACTCTAAAGGGCCCAAATGTTTCGCAGTTTTAAACGGCATATTCAATGAACTCATAATTTCCTACATAACAGACATCGAACATGAATGTAAAGGTGTCCACCATTTAACTGGTTAAGCCATCTAAATGTAATTCGGCACAGGCCAATTTTGAATAGATAGACAAAGTGAGGTCATTGCCCGAGGAATGACTCGTTGAAAGCATCCCACATTTGTCCATACGAATCTCACGGTAATTCTTCGCCTGACTCACATAACTCACAAGAAATTAGCGTGACACGATGCGTCAACAACCTGATGTTTCCTTTCCTGAGAATAATAAGGAGATTCTTGTCGCCCTCGTTGACTAATTAAGATTGGAAAGTCCTAAGACAGCGAAACATGTACCATTTTGCTCTGGAGACATGAACAATACACTTATATATTATTGCATATCAGAACTCTCCTGCAGGCTGGAAAAATCTCCACTTTTTGCACATCTAGCACCAAAAGAATGGAGGCTAACGAGGACGGACCTAACAGAACCCGTATGGCGTAACGTACAAAGAAAATTAATAAACAGAAGCTCTCGCTGTTGCTAAAGTGTAATACCGCAGAGTAGTCAATCTAGGTATTAAGGACTCCAAGTAGCATGACTTTGTAATTTATTCGTATGACATCGACCACCCGAAAATGATTTGCAAAGTCTGTTGATGGTGCCGGGACGTATACTGTCCGTATCTCGGATTATTCCAAAGCCAGATATTTATTACACTAAAAAGTCACGAAGTTCAGCACAATTAAGGGTAATAGACAGCATTTTTGAATGGCCTGTTGAAAAAGTGACGAGGAGATATGTGAATCAAACCAAACGCACTACAGACAGAGTTTTAGTGGCCCTGTAAGTTAACTTGCAAATATTCGAACACGGGCAATGGGACCTATATACCATAATAATTACCAAGAACGAGAATAATATCGGCGTCCAATAGGTGTTAAACAAGCCTATTATACCATATTGTATTCCATTACACATCCACGTTGGCTATGGATGCGGGCAAGGCGATGATTAGACTTGGCAACGCCTTCCAGTCCATGTAAGTGAAAATTTTCAGGTAAGCATGCGGTTCCCTTGTGTTTTGACGCACATATAGTCGTGTGACTGTCGGCAACGAGACGTTTTTTCATACAAAAGTCAGACAGAATAGTAAAAAGGAGAAGCCTAACTCCCACAGGGCATGCACGGGCAGCCCAGATCTCCGCGGCAGAAATTGTTACATCATGTCGCCAGCCAATGGTTATTGTCAATAAGCATGGCGAGAGGTGCGTGCATGCGCCTGAGCTATACCCGCCGGGCAGCCAATCAGTCAAAGAAATGTTGATCGGCCTAAAGCTGTCGTTACGCCAAGGAGATAAGTCACGTGTGACACAGGCGTTCAACTGACAAGTGGTGTTAAGTGGACCAAAGGCAATATGGGCAAGCGTCCGAACTGGCGATAATGACGAGGGACCTCTACGCTCTTCTCGTGTTCTTCATGAATGCATCTATGAGTGGTCCGTCCCAGGCACCAACAACCCCTGTTAAAATGAACACGCGCCACCTTCTAGACGTAACGATGCTCCTCAGGAAGTTCATGTAAATGTCTTGTTGTGACCGATGCGAAGGAACCATCGAAAGGCGGGGCGCCGTCTTACATCCCCTCAATTTTTTGGGCCGTCTATCTGAGAAGGGGAATAGTTTATGCGCAGTTATTCCGACTTTATATGACGAATACTGCATGTCTTTCGAAAGTTTTGTCCTCCTCCTTTGATCCATTTCCAGCATTTTACAAACCCTTTTTGGTCAGGGGAACCGCGCCTGAAACCTCTATTTCGGATATAAGCCAGCAAAGACCCTAAACACTTTCCTAAACAGTTTCTCCCCCACATCGAATAAAAACGTCTTCATAGGAAGAAACACCAGTTACCCATACGGCAGTCTATACACATAAGGAAGAGGACTTTTAATTACGCAATAGCATTTCGAGATCACTAGGGTTCCGGGACATTCAAAAGACAATTCCTAAATGGGGTTTCGACAAAGGCTGGCTTCGATGTTTGATTTCTTCGTTTTGACCCGAATTGTGCCGTCATCTCCAACAGCAAACTTGAGGGGGAGTTTTTAAAACCACCTGCAAAGGAGACTGAGGCTTTTTAGTATGGTTCGGCTACAGTTATTACACGTGACTTTTTGTCAATCTGTGGTGCTAAAGGAAACCACGACTCCCCTACACGTCAGTCCGGTCACATAATCGCTGACCTACATTAATAACAGTAAAGGGTCGCTAACCAAGTCCTAAAGAATTCCGATCGCAACCGGTGATGGCACCTAATTTGTTTTTATTGTAACCGGGCTAACAAGAAGTCCTCTGTCAAAGTCAGTAAATGAAACCTACCCAGATTCTTATATCCCATAAAGTACAGTTCCGGAACACTAGTGCAAGCGTTCACGTAATCCCCGCAAATGATATTGGCCTCTCTATCCTATTCTAGTACGCAGTACGAATGTTCCGTTTAGCAGAACATATTAGTCAAGCGGATTGACTTGTTTTCAAAACATGTTCGCTTTCGGAAATTCTTTTCTTTGACAAGACATACGGTAGATTTGTTTGCGGCAATTTCCGTTATTTCGGTAAACGAGCGGTTAGTTCACTGATTTCCATTTGTAATCACCTTTTCGCGACCCACAGTTATAAGTTTAGAGTATGCCAGCCACTTTATAGTCAAGTGGGAAGGCGCCTTGCCCAAAGGACAAATGGATGATAGGCTAGTGGTTTAAATATTTGGCATGGTCGTACAGATTTCGAAAAAATACGCGCAGGCAATTCCTTCCACATAAATTCCACTGGAAAATCGATATTTGCTAAAATCTTACCATTGTTTTAACTGAAATGGTTGGTTGAATAAAATTTGTCCTGCTGATAAAAACGAATGCAAAAAATGACTTAGATACCCCAATTTTAAGAGGGTTTATGAAGGCCCTATTCGTCCACTCAACTTGCCCGTTGTCTTAGGGGAGCGCCAGGGTCATTCTTTTCTTCTGAAAACGTAGTCGGTGGCATACACCGAGTATAGACTTATTTTCAAACGAAAATCCGAAGTTCAAGTGAGTCGGGAGGATACCGTCAAAATAGCAGATCAAGTCGTCAAAAACGCAGTTATAATTGTTGGTGCATCTTGTCTGCGAAGTAGCACTGCTTCTGACTGGTGAGTGGAATGGCTGTTCATAGA